TAGTAGTAGTAGTAGTAGTAGTAGTACTACTACTACTACTACTACTACTAGTACTAGTACTAGTACTAGTACTAGTACTAGTACTAGTACTAGTACTAGTACTAGTACTGCTGCTACTACTACTACTACTACTACTACTACTACTACTAAGACGACGACGACGACGACGACGACTACTTCGACCAGAACAACCATAACGATACCACCGCCATCATTAACATCATCTCAGCTTGGACTTGAAATATGGAGGGCCCTCATGGAGCCCAAAAACTAAAGCCCAGACAAACTAAGGCTAAGGACCCCGTAGACCCTAAGCCTTATAAGCCCTGTATCAATCCAGCAGGGTGGCTGGAGCTGGTAGGTGGTCGAAGGCAAGGGAAGCTTTACATGAACCTCGGGAGACGGAAAGGCGCAGCGGCATCTTCGGGCTTGATGGCCCTGGCCTGTCTAACTCGGATGTCTTTACCTTCCTTGGGGTAAACCTTCCTACCAACCGAAAAGTGAAGGTGCGGGCCAGTGCATGTAATCAGCGTCTCACACCTCTGACGGCTCTTTTTTGATGAGTACTGCACAGTTCTTGGCCATGGTAAAATGTCGTCTCAATCATGATATGGCTTTGGCCTGGCGGGCACCCAACAATGCCAAGAAGACTTAAGGAGCAGTACTACTAACTTAGGATTTGCCTGCAGGGTAAGACCCTACCCCTTTTTAAGGTACCTAGTTTTATGGTTAGGACCTGTTATATAGAAAAGTAGGCACCCAAAAAAGGGTGAGGGTATGAGCCTGCAGGTAGGGTTTAGTGCTCATAACATTTCACGCCTGATGTGTTCCCAAACCCTCTAAAACCCTCTTTTAAAGCGCTCTACACTCTACACCCATATTGTACTCCCAAAACATTCCCTATATCAATAAACAACCATTTCCGATGTATTGAGGCCTAGATCTGAACCTATCAGGACGGCTTCGGGCTCCAACTTCTTGGAGCAGTAGCCCATTTCCAAGCTTGATTATAGGGTGTACTCTAATACCCCAAACCAAAGTTAATGTAGGGACCGTAGTAATTTAGAATAGGTTTTGGGCTCGTTTATAGTACATTTCTAACACAGAACTTCGGGGCTCGTGTACAATCTGCTTATAATACGGAACTCTAAGGAATACTAAAGTTACATAGGTAATTATTTCGGCGACTACAGTATAGGGTTTGGGGTTGCAGGTCTCGGTCTGGAACCAGGGCTTTTCTGAAAGGGCTCAGGTGATGCCAGCCTACAGCAAGAGGAGGGCTTAGGGTTTAGGGTTTAGGGCTCTTAGCCTACAGAAAGAGGAGGGTTTAGGGTTTAGGGTTCTACTGTTGGGGCATGGCGGATGGTGCGAGTCTCAAGCAGTGCAGCGATTCTAAGCGAAAAGTGGTGTTCTGTGTTGTATGCGGAGCCTTAAACCCAAACTCACAATGATTTGGGATTTTTTTGAGAGCCCTATAATTATAATCCCAGGGTCTACAGGTCTGCGAATTCTAACACAAGTTACACAGAGGCCTTGAGAGCAATTAGACTAGGGTTTGGGGTAAGGTGAGGGTATGACATGGTCAGTGCTGTTGTAGAGGGACTATGAGGGGCAGTTAGCTCCAGTTGATGCGAAGACGGCCACAAGCGAGGTTGCTGTGGGATCTTTATCAATGGATCTTAATACTACCTATTCAGACAGTTGTTTTTTGGAGCGGTGTGGTGCTTGTTCATCAGAGCCCTACTTAGTTGTCCCGTATCCCAAGGGAACTAAAGCTTAACCTTTCGGATTTTATAGGGATGATGTTGCCCCAAGCATAGGTGAAAGGACAGTGTAGGAACCTGATCAAGAAACCCTGGCCCTGTAACCCCCAATATATTAGAGTTCATATTAAGAACCCTGATACAGGGCCAGGGTTTCTTAATCAGGTTCCTACATTACCGACTCTACTGGGCATATTTGGGAGTTTCCGAACATAAGGGGTACCGTCCTTATAATAAGGATTCTACTATTTGGGGTACTATATTAGGGTCCCCTATTATCCGAATCCTCCATTTGGGGGATCAGAGGTGACGGCCAAGGAAGTCCGGTCGGCGAGGTGGAAGACTTGGCACGCGCGCGGCACCTTTGGGCGCATCTTCGGCGGGCTTGAGGTCCCCCGAGGTTTGGGGCTTCTTGTGCTTGCTTTGCTTATTTGGGAGGGGGAGGCTCAGGGGCTGAGTACTTTAGCCCAACAAAGGTTAACCTTTTGAGTTATAGTAGGATTATATAAGCCCCAAAAGGTTAAAGGTTACCTTCTCAGCCCTTAAGGAGGAGTAGGGTCTTAGGTCTGTAGAGCTTTCAACAGGGCATAACGCTTGGGCTTTCAGCGCGTTTGTGGCATTAGTGCTTCGGAACTGCGGTTCGAAGGCTGTGATGCTTGGCGGCCTTCTCTCTAGGTAGGAAGTTAGCAGCAGGCATCGAGAGATACACTGAATTGAAGGCACCCTTGGTTAAAAAGTCTGCTTTCAAGGGCTCATGGACCAAACCCGTGCGAAGACTTGCGGGCACTTCGCTTTTGAGCTGGAGGAACCCCGGGCAAAAAGTGGGATTTAGACTGGAAGTTTGTGGAAAGTACCCCGCTCCAGGACGGTCAAGGACTTTCAGTTTCAAATTTGGGGTTTCGAGCCAAGGTTTACAGTGGACGCATCGTAGCGTTTCAGTGCCTTCACGAGTTTTGTAGCAAATGCCCATGTAATCGCCTACTGTATACCTTGGCTAGGTCAAAATCTACAATCCTAGACCCTGAAGCCGAAAGATTAAAGCGTTAAGCCTCGTACCCCTGAACCTTATAGAACCACCGAAGCCATGTTAGAATCCTTAGAAGATTCCCTGAAGCCTTAACCCAAACCCAGCTTCCCAAGCGAGCGCAGAAAACCCAGCTTCATAACTTAAAAAAACACATAAAACACTTATGAACCCTGAAAAGGTTTGGGCGTTGGGGTCTTTATTCTTATATCATTATTCTATTGGTATTCTATGATAAATGGTTAAACATAAACTTACGACTATCAGTATCATTATGGCTACTATCACAGATCACTCTCAACCTTGTTACGGCCCCATATGACCCGGGTTCACCTTAAAGCACAAAGCCCAGTTTCTGAGGCACCAACCTGGCTGTAGTCACCATCGAACCTTGGGAATCTTGAGTTTAGGGTTTAGGATGTATGGCTCTTTGCGTTTTCGGGCTCTTCCAGGTTTAATTAGGGCTCTTTGGGGTTAGGGCTCTTTGGGTACAGGGCTAAAGGGGTTTAGGGCTCGTATGGTTAGGGTTCTGGGGTTTAAAATGGCTTTGGGGTTGCAGGGGTGGGGGCCCTTGGCATTAACTATAATGAGGGCTCTTCGGGGTTTAGGGCTTTCGGGGTTTAGAGGTTTGGGAGCTTTTTGGGCTTTGTGGGTTCACGGTCACTAACCGGCAGCAACTTTGCTTTTGATCACAGGAGCTTCTCAGCTGGGGATGAAATGTTCAAACCCTCTTCTTTCTACCATATGGATGGTTGTCAAAATTATGGTACCTTTTGGGGTCCTTTTAATAATACGGCACCTAATATTTAGGGTACCCCAAAAAGGCACCCTAATTTTGACAACCACCCATATATCAGGCTGCAGGGTCGGGGCTTGTGCGGGTTGTTGCGGTGTGGGGCCCGTGCTTTATTATTATCGAGTGTTATGCAGGTTTGAAGGTTGAGGTTTACGCTTCCAGGCTTGGGTAAGGGACTCGTCAGAAGGAAAGTTCGAGTACACTCAAATGGTTGGAACCTGCCCTGTACTCTACAGTGACGGCATGAGGACACGCGTGCTCCGGCT